AGAGGACAGACAGAGGGTTGCCGGATGTGAACGAGTTGTTCACCCCGCGATCCGCCTCAAATGGGCGGGGCGACCCCGCCCCATCGCGCCAACCGACCGCCTCCCAGATGCAGGGGAACCCCGGCTATGGAGCGCGATATTCTAGTGGAGCGCATTTTTTAACTCGAGTAATTAGTAACAATAGTTTGTTAATTGCTAGTAATTTGCTAGATTTATTTCAACGTCATAAGTAGTGAGGGGTCAGTTTCTTCGTTCTCAAGTGTTTAATATCTAAAGGAACGTGGTGTTGTTTGATTACGCAGTTTAAGATTCGGGAAATTGTGAATTAACAGAGGTGGTCGTTCTTACGCTTAGCAGTTGTTTTGAAGGTGATGATCTCGATCAGTTGGGTTCGGAAAGTAAGAATTTATTGCTTTCAGATATGTCCGGAGTGCTGCTTCGGTGGTGTCTGAAGTCGAAATATGCGAACACATCACGTTTTATTTCACTAGTTTCAAATGTACGTGCTTATTTCCAACTTATCTTGGTAACTTTCTCATGCTGGGAGCAGTACGGCTACTTTGTTAATGACGTTTTCATTTCAGAAATGTTCTGATTTGAATTCTTCTCCCTCTCTACAGAAATGTATACAGAAGCGTAACATACTTTTCAAAATGGTTAACGAAACCCCACCCAGGATAGTTGGATACTACGTTGTGTAAGTAATAAGGTCAAGCTTTATTTGGTACTTTACTTTTATTCCCATTCTGTAAAGCATTGTAGTACCTCCTGTTTCAGATTCCCTCATATTCCTGATGAAACGGTGGAGAACAATCGTTTCATGTACAACATTGCAAAGGGTGAAGATTGGCCGACACTGGCTACTGCATCCCCTAAAGTAATATTACAGCATTCAGACAATTCTTGCGTGTTTTGATCATCATGTTTTTCAGGAAATGTATGAGGGAACAGTACGAATGCTGATGGAGTACGGTGCAACTTGCATGGAACATCTTGAGCTTCTGAGCAAACGTAATGTCTGATCTTGGAATATATGACTCTATGATATTAGTTCGTCAATTTGGTATAACATCGCATACGCTTTGTTTTCTTCTTTGTTTTGGAACAAATTTCCCTATTGTAATTTTCTCTCCACTCCTCATCTCTACCCATACGCCATGTCGTATCGCCGTGGAACAATTGCTAATTTGTATCTGTTTCCTTGACAAGTACTTCATAGCAAACGCAATGAATAGGCCGATATTACTTCTAATTTTGCTATTTTCTCCATCCAATAGCAGAATTTTAGTGCCTGCCGAAGAACGCACTTTCGAAACGGTAGTCGAACCCCTTCTAACTGAAGAATATGATGTGGATTATGCTCTGCAGACGCTTCTGCTCAAAATGCTCACAGATTGGCCAGATAGTGATCGGAAGCTTTTTGATGCCGATCTTCATCACGTATGTGTATTTCAATTTCTCTATTATTTTATTTTTACAACAAACTTCTGAAGTAGATTGCGTTATAGATCAAAATTATGAGCGCCCGTGACCATATGGAGAAGCTATCCAATGCCGATTTCCAAGACGCGATTAAGGTAAACCTAGATGATACCATAGTCACATTTGTTTACTTGTTTAAAAATTGTTTCGTTAAGTACCTCGAGAGTAAAACTTCGTTTAGCAACTGTATGATGCCAAAGAAGGATTAACAGAATGGCAGCTACGACTTCTTGAGTGGTACTTGCTTGAGGTGAGTTAAAGAAAAATTGGAGTGGAACGGAGAACGAAAGGCGAAGTGTGCAGAACAGGACAGAGCTAACATTTTGTCATATATGAACAGTACCTTATTTTCAAGATTCGTGCTAGTGGAATGGACAGAAGAGATGACAAAACTCGGAAGTTGATAGGATCATGGAGCAGATTTATCGATGAGTACCGCAGCAAATACATGTAAGTTATATCGTATGCGTATAATACAAATACACAACAAAACAGAACTCAGCAATAGTATTGACAAAGGTGTTGAGAAGGGAAATGGTATTGGTCTAAGAGATAGACCAATATGAACAGTCCTTCATTTCGCAGTTAATGCCAACATTTCGAGGCGCAGTTGGCACAAACTCACAGTGGCTAGGAATGGTTCATTTTACTCTGAATGCTCTTTTCGCTCATATTTATATTGCCTTCTTTTAGTTCAAATGTCATGGCCACCAACGACCAGCATGTCTTTACCATAACCGACAAGGCCATGTTGAAAGATGCTCCACCTCACGTTTTACAGACACTTGCTGCAGATCCGTAAGTATTGTTTGTGACGACATTCACTGTCTTTAGCTTCTCTATTTTTCCTTAATTCATAATGTTCATCACGTACAAGTTCTAAAAAAGCATAACCCTCATTTCTTTGTTTCTACTTTCGCTTATTCTAGAACGCAATGGGAACAAGGACCTTGGCGCGGTCGTATGACCCCACATTCCATTTATCCGTTCTTGGAGTACTGTGGGAGTCGTCAGTTGAGAGCAGAAGCTTGGGAAAGATGGATCAGCAAGGTTTGTCCTATTCAATGTTTTTTTTGCAATTAAACAATTTCTTCCATGTTTTCACTTAACTACAGTCCGCGTTTCTGTACTAATTGCTACAATTTTTCAATTATGTTTACGGATTCACAGTGTCCTCCATTTTTAGGCATCATTTGATCACGATTTCTACAATAACTCTATAAATATTGAAGAGCTCAGACATAACAAGTAAGTCACCTTTTTTTGCTTTGCGAATCCTTTTGCCTCTCTTTTCCTCGATGATTTCGCATGCTTTCGTCCAACTTTTACACGTGTTTTATGAAACTCTTTGATCGCTGTGACGGTGGCGATCTAGAGAACGACAAAAACCATCTTACTCTTAGTTTCGGTATGATGCTCCCTCCACAGTTTTGCTTACCAAGAGATGTTTTCGGATTTCTGCTGCTCATTATCATCAAAACTGATTATAATTGGCCAGCTCTTGATAACCCACTGTTATCTCATGATGATCTTATGTTTGATATGAACGCCTGTGCTCATTCAGATTGAATGTTGATTTCAGTGAAGGCCTGGCAAAAACATTGGGATATTCATCAACTTCTGAACATCGACTTGCGAACAAAATGGCCGCGTCACCCGAAACTGTCCGGAACTTTCTGAATGCGTAAGCAACATAATTTTATTTTCGTAGCTTGATTGTACGTGATGGATTTAAGGAAATGTACTCGAGATTGTTCAGGTTGACTCGCCGAATTCGTCCAGTATTCATTGATCGCATGGAGTCATGGACAGCTTTTGCTCAGGCTAAAGAGCTCATGTCCAGCAATTTACAAGCTCATGATCTTGCATACATCTGTAGAAAAGAGGCTGAGCACCACTATGAGTAAGTGAGCTTATTAAGATACTCTGTATGTGTTGAGTTCATTCTATAATTGTTTACTACCAGTGTCGATCCGTTGGATTTGATGAATCACTTCCCATTCTGGCCAACTTTCCTCAATCTGACGAAAATAATGGGACAAATTTTCGGACTAGAATTTCATGTTGGTATCGAAGCTTGATTTTCAGCTCTCCTTTTCTTTTCCTATGAACTTGTGAATTATGACCTTTTCAACGAAATTAGTTTTTTGATGGTACTTATGTGCTTTTCAGGATATATCTGACAGTGGTCTTGAGCGCGCTCATCCTGATGCACGAATTTTCTCTGTAGATGATGTGACAACGGGAGAGCACCTTGGGAGGCTTTATATTGATCCATTCGATAGAGAGTCGAAGCGGGGAACATGGAATGTCATGCTCGGAAGAAGTGGGTGACCAAGAATGCGTTTCTGTTTTGATCGGTTTCAATCATTATATTCCCAAGCAGTTAAAATTAAAACAGAAAGGCGCTTTTGCGAGTAAGCACAAAAAATGTCTGACGTTTATCTTGTNACTGGTACGATATTGGAATTGCATATGTTTCAGTGGATTCGCAAGTTCGTGGTCTTGACAAGATAGTTTATCTTGTGGGATCAGCCATCGCACCTACGGAAAGTTCACCATCACTCCTTCACCATCACCAACTTGAACAGCTGCTGTTCCATGTGAGCTTCTCGCTATTCTACAATCTATGATATCAAACTACGGTGGGCTTTCCAGGTTGGCCGGTCCGTTCAAATGTTACTCTCACGAGCTCCATATCGAGATATTGCCATCCCATGGGCACCATTTTATGCAAGCGATTGGGATGCTGCGGATGCATTTCCGGCATTCTTACAATTCTTCATGTATAAACCAACTTTGCTGCAATCTCTCAGTTCACCTCATATCGTTGGTATTTTCAGTTTCGACCATACACTCGTTGAAACTGCCGCAACTATATTTTATTGCTTTCAGGTAAACGGATCCACAGTGTCTGATGAATATGCTAATAATATATGCCTGGCTTTGTCACGTTCAACTCTTTGGGAGTCCTATAGATCATTGTTCTGGGCTGATTACGATCTCACCATATTCGAAATGGAGGATAGAAAGTGAGTGAGCGTTAATCCTCGTACTTGATGCATGGGTTTGTTTGGCTTCGCAAGTTTGACACTCTTTAGGCAGAAATTCTGGTTGGATTTGTATCGCGAAATGTCCAAAGAGTATTTCCCTTTCAAAGCCGGAAGAAATGATTATCACCCGTGCTCGTTCATACCCATATTTGGTCTTCAACCATACATGGGGATGTATTATAGAAAGTTATGGACGGAGGTAACTTATTTTTCTCATATATGGTCCGGACCATAGCCGTATAAAAAGGTCGCTACTAATTTCAGATGCTCGCATTAGATATTCACGAAACATTTGACTTCGAAGATGACGTCGCAAAAACTGGTGAGCGACTGAAAGCTACTATGCTTTCACGGGGATCGGGCGATGTAGCTAAAGAGCTCTATCGGCGGTTTCAGGTACTTTTCGTAATTTTTACATGTTTTGCTTCTACCTCATTGAAGAATATGTTTTAGGGCCGGGATCCTAGCGTTGGCGCTATATGTGACTTTTATGACCCTCCATCTTTCTACCACCTAAACGTTGAAGAAGCTAGTCAAGTGTAAAAAAGATGTGTAAGCCTTTCCTGAAGTAATCTTCTGAGAGGGTATTCTATTGTAATCCTGATTTGAAATTCTCTTGATCTTTGTTGAAGGTTTCCGATGATCACATGTCTGATATGTTATTAATTATGTTGCCACAATCGCTCTTCATTTGCTAGCTTACTAAAGTGGTAATAGATTCCAGTTGATAGTTTTCACTAGCAGACTAGTTACAATGTGAGGGTATAGGTAAATTATATCGAAAGCGCAGACTTGAGGCTGACCGCTGAATCCGCTCGCTCATTACCCTTCTCGACTGCAAGAGATTGCCTACCCGGTGAGAACCCACTCGAGATTCCTGGAAGGTGACCAGTCACAAGGGAACGCTGCTGTGGGTTAGTATCCAAAAGATGAGCCGAAGAAATCCAACACATGATAGAACCGACAAAATATTTTATAACTTTGTTGCTGAACATTTATTGATATTTCTTGCTGCGTGCTAACCATCTCCCTCTTTGCTCATTTGAAGACCTTCAATCATTCGTTTCATTTGGAGATGTTTACTCAATTGCAACTGCAACGTATCGAATGGGTTCCACAGTTACTGACTTCAGTGTTTCCTTATGCTCAAAAAGCTGGTTTAGTTCTGGTTTCGCATCCTACTTTCTCGTTCCTGTTGCGGGACAATACGGCTCGTGTTGTAATACAGTTGTACTCATATTTTGTTGTAATACAGTTGTACTCATATTTAGCGCTCTCGTAGCACGTAGTTTGTAAAATGTGGTGCTGTAGCTAATCAGCAAGCAGCTTTACATTCAAGTTTTGTATAAACTCCTTCAACTTTGTTAATATGAGAGATTTTATCTTTTTTGTTCTATACAAGACATTAGATCTATTACAGGAATGAAGATTTTATGTAGCTCAGTGCTTCATGTCTTTCTTTGGTATCGCCCAGGTCCATTATCGCGTATGAGCTTTTTTAAGCGTTAATGTTGTGATGTATAACGGTACGGTTGGAGTTTTAGTGGGTATGTCCAATGCTACGGGAACTACAACTGGAGGTGATTCGAAGGCTCCTGAGACGACAGTCGTCACAGAAGTGCCCCCCAGTTTACATAGAGTACTATTGTTAATGGTGAAGAACTTCTTTTCAAAGGTAGGTTGGAAGCCGTTTTGATTCTTTCCAAACCATCCTGAGACAAATTCGGGCGGATAGAGGTTCCACACACTTTGACATATCAGAATTGCATTAAAAATTAAATTGCTTTCGTATAATCTCCGCCGTGCAAACGTTTGGAGAGTGCTCAGATGACGTCCAAGTCCTTTTGAGAAACAAGTTTTCGCAGAAGTTGTCCCAAGCACCAGTGTCGCACTATTAACATTCAGCTCTGCCCCTTTATACCACGGTTGATTCAGATTTGATTCGGAAATATCTAGTGAGTAGATGACTTTCGGCACTCTCACTAATGCATTGTGCAATTACAGGAACACTATCTAGTCGTTTACTACATAATGAGGGCAGTATGCATTCGAGAGGAGAATCTGAGAAGTCGACTCAACTTTGACCAAAAACAGTTGAGGCAGGTGAGTTTTCTTAGATTTTTTGCTTGATGCATGCGTTCCTGTCTTCCATTCAATGGTCCTTGGTGTTAGCTTCTTGCTGGGCTGAAGAATGAGAAGCTGGTGAAGGATCGTCTGCTTCAACAAAAGAATGAAACCGGAAGGAATGTCTCGATCATATTCTATTTCATCAACTATCGTGCTATTATCAACGTCCTCAAATACAAAATTGATCATATGAGGTTAGTTGCGATTTTGCAGTGTTGCCTTTTATGTACAGCTTTTAATCGTAGAAAGTCTTCAGGCAAATGTTGGAAGCTAGGGAGAAGAATGAACTGCAAAAGGCAAATTATAAGTGTGACCAATGCGGTGCTCAGTACGAGGTAATTTACGTCAAGGTACCCTGTCATCTTTACCAATTCCTCCATCTTTTAGGATATGGACATTGATCGAATATTTGATCCACAAACAGGGACTCTAAAGTGTTGGCGGTGTCAAGGTGAAGTAACGCAAGATATCACAGGAGGACCAACACAGGTCACGAGGTCCGCTTCAGAGTTATGCTTGGAGTTTGGGGTACCTGTAAAAGTGGCTATTCAGGACGCTTCTAGCTCGGTTCAATGAACAAATGCTACCACTCTTCGCTGCCATTCGGGAGTTAGCTGGTGTTCAACTAGCACCGCATCTTCTGGAACCGGACATAAATCAATATTTGGCCGAGGAAGACAAAAGTTCTTTTCTCTTCCATTACTACAGTATTTTACCTACAGCATTTTACCTATTATCACACTCACCTGAATAATCATAGCATCAACTATATTTTCGTGTAGTGTCTACATCCTACAACCCTTTAGTGATACCTTCAAAATCTCCATCGATTTGGTCTTCGTTTTTTTTTTTGTGGGAGGGGGGGTGGGACTTTGTTGGTACGAAACACTGAACATTATTGACAGCTCACATATTAATCGAATCTGTTGAACTCTTCGAAAAAGTTTTGCATTCATTGAATTCATGAGTAAAACTAAGGANCAAAATTGATCATATGAGGTTAGTTGCGATTTTGCAGTCCACATGAGTTGCCTTTTATGTACAGCTTTTAATCGTAGAAAGTCTNGGGACTTTGTTGGTACGAATCACTGAGCATTATTGACAGCTCACATATTAATCGAATCTGTTGAACTCTTCGAAAAAGTTTTGCGTTCATTGAATTCATGAGTAAAACTAAGGAACAGTACTTATTTTCCCTCTTGTTCCGGTTCTTAAGCGTTCATGAGTACAATTTATGAGGGCATGAGCACTACCTATTTAATCTCAAGTTCTGGACCTTCCAAGGCACGGGCCGATAGAATAACTTTGCATAATGAGTTCGGATGAGTAAGACCGGTTTTTCTTCTAAAATACTAACAATGTTTCCCTAAATACTGAAAAATAGAAAAAAATATCACGGACGCTTGGTCTCCGTCGTCTCGAGCAGTAATAAGCTTATTTCAGCCGCGGAGACTAATCAACAACTCGTAGACTTTTCGTCGTCAGCTGGAGGCCCACGTGTACAGCTCGGTGGTACAGCACACTCATATCAGACCGGCCCGTCAATTAAATATGCCAATGCCGATCAGATTACGGTAGACTTGAACGCTGATACGAACAGGTCAGTAGTACACATGACAGTTCAAATGCTGTGCGACACGATTTTTTGTTTTTCAAAATTCTGATTTGTTTCAATTTAAGAAATAGAACCGTGACCACGTCACATCAGCTAACATTTAATGAATCTTTTTCTCCTATTCAGCAAACCTGTCGAGGAAGCAAAAGTGGTTCCCACATGGCTTCAAGATGATGCTATTGGTGGTGGCGAACAAAACGTGACAGATGAAGTACTAGGAGCGGGAACTGATAGGTGGGGTTTTCGCTAGGCTTTCCATCTTGTAGAAATCGAGTTTATTGCTTCTAACTGTATCTGCTTCTTTATGTGATAAGAGGCATTAGAAAGGTAGCTTACAGTACCATATTCTTTTAGCAACGATGCTGTACCTCATGTTGCATCGTCGGTGTCCTTGAGCTTAATGGCGGAACTAGAAAATATTGAAGAACCTCCACAGAAGCGGCCACGTTCTGACGAGGACCAAAACGGAGTCGCTAATGATGGACTTGGAGCTGATGATGAGGATGAGGAAGACGACGAGGAAGAGGAGATGATTTCTGTTGCCGGAAAACTGGTTTGTTTTTTAGTTGATCGATCAGACTTATTTGGAAAAAATACAGTAGCCCCACTACGATCTTTCTTCCAGGGACTTTTGAAGGCCTTTGTTTGCTCTCAGAACAAGAAAGGAAATGTTCAAGTTTTAGTTGCCCGGCAAAAATTTGGANTCAGACTTATTTGGAAAAAATACAGTAGCCCCACTACGATCTTTCTTCCAGGGACTTTTGAAGGCCTTTGTTTGCTCTCAGAACAAGAAAGGAAATGTTCAAGTTTTAGTTGCCCGGCAAAAATTTGGAGACAGCCACATTGTGTTGCGGGTTGGGGAAGAGGATTGACGAAGGTTTTGGGAACCCAAACTCTTCCCGAAGGAATTCCCTTCATTACCATTTCGCGTGATCTGCGTACTGCCAGAGTCCCTTTATTGAGGTTCATCGTTGATTTATTGTACAGAGCCTACTGAATCTTTTTATTTATAGGTTCCCTTGAGCGAAGTCACATCGGAAATGGTGGCTGAAATGACGGAGGAAGAACGCGATCGGTATACGGCTATTATGCAAGAGAATTTGTATTATTAGATGATCTCTTCTAATAATTTATGTTATTTATATAGCGGATTTCTTGAAGATCCACTTATCGGAGTTATTTCTTCGTGTTTCAGCTTCAAAGTCTTCTTTTGCGAGGTAGGCTGTGGAGGGTTCATCACAGATCCTTGTTGTAGTCATAGTCAAGGGTGGCGGCGGTGAGGATTTCCTCCAGTACGAGTACTCCTCTCTCCTCCCTACTTCCACGTTACAACTCATTGCGATTTTTTACTCTACTAAAGGTAGTGATGGGGTTGGGAGCTTTAGTGTAATCGGCGGTGTGCCGCTCATCCGCTAGGTATGACTACTTTGCAAGAAACTCGACTACTCTTCCTTTGTGAGAATTTCTCAGCCCACCAATGATCCTGATTTGTGTGTGTGAGCGAATGCGGGTTGTAATTTTCCATTTCATTTATATGAGAAGAAATGACGAGGGTGAAAACAGTTTTCGTGTGTCTGCGGTGCCTCGTAGAAGTTACCGCAATGTTTTTATGCCTTTTCTCACTGTATTCATTTCACCAAATTTAACAATAAAAGGTTACCAATTATTCTTTTTTTTTNNTTTTTTTTTGTCAATAATTTATACATCCACAAATTTTCTAGCTAGTAATCCCTATCTAGTAATTATCACAAGTACAATTCACAACGCATAATCGAGAATCACGTCATGGAGTAACGAAGACTAAGAAATTAGATCATAAAAAATGTAGAGATTTTGCATTATGGCATGTCTCCAGACATTTCGTTTGTGCCATATGGTCTGGTAACAAGAGATCACAATCAAGGATACAAGCCATTGCAACCTGTAAGTGATAGATATCTCAATAAAATGCAGACATAATGATAAGTAGTTGAAGAGTGACGAATTTTTTTCGAGCTGTGGCATCCGTAATGTATAGTTCATCATCCAGGCATTGTAACGAGAATCCATCCAAAGTACCTCCCAACTTCCATCGGATATGTAGGTCGACTATGGGCCAGAGTAATGGAAATGAGATGACTGCCAGAATCAGAAACAAGACATAGATGGTGTAGACGGATACGAGGAGGTGGATAGATGTCGGAGGAGGCACTCGCACCCACATGGTATTTAGATATGTTTGCAGGTGTAGTTATGGTTACAGCGGTGCAATGGTAGTCACCCGTGAAGTTCAGGCAAGAAAAGAAGGCCAAAAAATCAGGTTCGCTTGTAATGAGGCTTTTCTAGGAGAAATCGTTTTAGTCAGGGAGTACCGTTTTGGAAGGAGATTTGGGCATTACTGCTCTCCCACTAGTCCACAATTACCCTGACAGCAAGTATTCACTGACAGTTTCTAGCTTACAGAAGTAAGCGAAATTAAGCGACAGTAAGCGAGCGAAGGGTAATCGAAAAGCGTATTCTGGAAGAGAAGGAATCACTTACCTCGCGTCTTTGCCTTAGACAGCCGTATCCCTCATAAGGAATTTGGCACTTGGAGCATGGCATTTCACCTGTACCGTTTTCATCACATACTTCGGTACAATGCTCGAATATACGCCGTCGTTCCGCTTCCTGTTCGGTCTCGAACTGAAATTCGTTCGCATTTACCGGGAGAGAATCATGAAAGAAGCACAAAACCCTTTGATTTCTGTCGGGAAAGAAGTTGTACTGCACTCCCCATCAGTGAACTATTTATTAGACGTTCGTTGAAGCGGACTTATTCTGTGGGCAGGGGAAAGGCCATTGCTCTCCGGAAGTATGTGAATTCTATCAGACGGCAAAAAGGTAATGAAGGAGGGCAGCTGTTAATTGGTCCCTGGAAGTACGTTACTATGAATTTATTCATTTTTACCCATCGCCAGGTCATTTCTTGTGGTTCTCCTTTTCTGCTGCTTTCTCTGTTATGGTAGTTTGCCATTCTGCTTATTAATTAGCCAGATTTAGGAGAAATCAAAGTGCACAATGCTGCCCTTAAAAATCAAATTGTTTTAGTTTCCATACATACAAATTGAAGGTGGCGGAGAATTGCCCAGGTGCACTACCCCAAGCAGGGATCAGGGATCGATTTCCGGACCATTATCTACCCGGATAAACTAAGCTCCCAATCTTCGAGGGTTAGTTGATTGGTAAAAGACTCTGTCTGTCTGGATGGAAGCATGTGCATCAACTGCCCTCTACAAGTCATTACGTATTCCACATACGCATTCAAATACCGCCAAGATCGTAGATGGAAGTCTAACACGTGGCGCATTCCAACCGGATTTTCTCAGCTCTAGAAATTTCTCTTTCTCTCTTCTACCTTTGCCAATTTCTCATCTGATCAAAAACCCTATTAGTCCTTCCTTCCTTTCTGTCTTCCTTCCTTCCTTCCTTCCTTTTCCTACTCTTCTTCATTAACATAATCATGGCTATCATATGGCATTTGAATAAATGATTTAATTGGATTCTGACGGCATGAGGCATGGATGGAATGAGCGGCATTTTATATACAGATATGCCACGAATCTCAAATCCCCTTCCCCACCGCAACCAGGTCATGGGTTCGAATCGTTGATGCGAGGATATATTTCACGACGGAAAGGAAACAGGTCAAGCGTAAAAATCCCCTGTGCACTTAAGCGTTTCCTTAACGTTCGTGACTCGAAATTCCTGCCAAAAGTGATTTTTAGACTTTGATAATGCCATTCATTTCCGTATTTGCTGTGCAATGAGCTTACAAAGAGGAAGTATGGAAAAGGGTGCTGACGTCTGAGGGCACGAACCGGTACGTTCATTTGAGTACTTCGGGTGTATCGGACTACTTTAACCTTCTCAGACAAATCTGTTGCCCAATTACCATAACCATATGATCTTATAACCAACGGTAAACGTTTTCATTTTTTTCAGAATCCCTTCGCTGAACTGAATTCAAATGATTTATGCTTTCTGCAACGTGAAGGCATTGTGTAAGAATCACCTTCTCTGGCGCAAAAAGCGGGTGGGCCGGAGGAAGTAACGTCATCGCATGCGGCGGAACAGAACGCAGATCGCATTTCCATAATACACAGAAACCTGTTCATCCCTTGAAGTTACTTTAAGGCACAGCTCACGAAAAAAGTGGTTTCTGAGATTTCCCCCTGGGATGGACTCGAAGTTCCTCCTGATATCATGTGGGCCTATGTTAGGTCGAGGAACGTCCTGGATAGGGCACAATAAGGGGCCAGACATTGTATCGTGTGAATGCGGACGAGTATCAACGGTATCGTAGAGGCTGCCCAGTTGGTAAGATAACCTATGTGAGGAGTTGAAACAACTTGCCATGACCCATAGCGACAGTGAAATGCAATTTTGTACGTACAGTTTTGGCTTGTCATAGCCAGCTTTTTGCGCAATTGCAACTACTGAAATCTCGTCCAGACACTCCTTCTGTGCCCTTTTCATCATGGTAATCTCGCACAAACTCTATTTCCACTAACTTTTAGATAACCACTTTTCGCGAAGGAAGCGAATTTTCTCACTTTCTTCGCTATAGATGCACTACTCTGCATCAATACTTCCACTTTTCAACTAAAAAATGCTACCTCAAAATTATCGTGGACTGTGTCTTGACTGGTACTGGGTGTCAACGAAGGTCAAGCTCAGAGCATCATCACCTAACCGACCCCACAGGTAATTGTAGTTCTACAAGCCCGACAGAAAGCCACAGATGTGGCGTATTTGCATAGGAGGGTTGACGAGATTTCCTATGCCCCCATACCTCTTACTTTTTTTTTTATAAAGATTTTGTAGTTGGCAGTATCTATTTCTCTAAATTTGTCCCAAGGTATTTTCGATATTCACTGCAAATTCAAACCGGGGAGTGGCCATTCTCCGGGGGTTAAGATCTGGAATTATAGACAATAAAACTGATGATGAACTATGATTATGGATTATGGTTTATGATGAACTGTCATATTCAATAAAAACTTTTTGCTACACAAATTTGCACATGGAAATTTATAATATCAAGGCCAAAGGCCCAATACAGTTTTGTCTGCTCCCAAATGAATTTTGCCCTTTGCAGGACAACTGGAGTTGATGTTCTCATAAAAACATCTTCAGATAGACGGGGTTGACAATGGTTTCCCCTACAGTCTAGTGCTTCCTAAGTGTACAGTTTACGGCTAGTAGTCATAACCACAATGGGAGATATAACCAAAACAATGTTATTGTCAAGTTCAGCTCAAAATCAACCCTCCTCCACTGAAAGTTGGTGACAATAGAGCCTCGAATTTCCTCTGAAAGATTACGGTTCCATTCAGAGACGTCATGGCCAGAAAAATCGTGCCATAAGTCTATTTTGCTTGGTGTTAAGCGAGCCGGATAGGTTGATTCTGATACCACTCGTGTGACTAAAAATTCTGAAAACAACTCTTGAAAAACAACTTGTTCTCATCGGGAAACTGACCCACAACTTGTTTCCGTTCTCCTACCAAAATTGGATAATTTTAATTGATATCGTGTGAGATCATTATAACAAATCCCCTCCTTTCTCCTCAGCCAGTTTACATCTTACATAGGGAATTGTAGAAGCAGAAATTCCTCGGAGCCCATATGAAAGTTGGAGCTTTTACTATCGAGAACAAGTATAGTCCGATGTGAGCGATCTTGAAGAACCTCTAGTCAGGGGCGCACTTTGGGCTCCTTCCATCCACGCTGGTTCAGAAGCGTTATTAGATGTGTACGGGATAGCATTTTCTAGCAACACATGTTCAAAGGAACACATCCCTACACCGACACACACCCACCAACACACACACATACGCATCTACTCCGGATTATTTTGTGTATCAAAGGAACTCACTCTGATTTCGGTACATAAATATGGAATTCGAGCAACTGAACAAGCGACCAGAATCGATATCAATAATAATAACATATCTGAAAATTCTAGCGATTATGATAAAATATGTGCATACGCCTGGACACTTCAACAAACAGATCTAGAAAATGCATCCGTAAACTTCGTAAAAAAACGTCATCACAACATGGCAATGGTAGATTAATAGTCAACAACATGAGGTAAACAACGCTGTGCGAACAAAAAGTCATTACTGCGGTTACTATTAATAAGTGCGATGAAACTAAAATAGGTGGCTCCGGAAGTATGTGAAAACAAAGAGAAGAACCGCTTTCGATATTGGGCAGGCCTTTGCCCCGCAATGAGTTCCCACTAATTTTATAAAACAAGAATACTTAAGAAGCGTAAGGTAGGAACACATCGCTATAACAGGCGAGTGAAGGAGCCCTTCGGAAGAGTAGGTATCAAGGAGGAGCTCCTTATGGAAGTGACTTGGTAATAATAACCGTTAACTGTTGAACATTTCTCATAAAGATTGCTTAGGCATGTCGTGGACTGACAGCATGGCACATCAAGGTGAAAATGGGCGTTGCACCGGAAATGGGAAAAAACCTATAGTGTGGGTATAAATGTAAAAAAGTCGAACAACATTAGTTTCAGTATTCGATAGGTGGCAAACAGAAACAGTGTCCTTAGTGAATAAGGAATAATAAAAGGTTGATACGCATATATTATACAATTCGACAGAGCCATGAACTTGACTTTCAGTAAGAAATCGAACCCCTACCATATGATGATTCGCGGTAACAAAAAGACTGAGGTGTCGTATTGACAAATGGCGCCGTGTTATACATGCACGGTCTCGAGATCAGTCCCGCATAGATACTCGCCTAGGTCAGGCAATTCTAGCCTATCTCAGTTGGTTATTTGATAACAGGCTCACCAGCGAGGAACAAAGCGTAGCTTGTACCTTGGCTGGCCTATGCAACTCTTTATATAGGCCACACATGCATTCATATCGCCACTACCATTGAAAGTCCAATGCGGGGGCGCATCACTCAGATAAGGTTAATTAACGCCAAGAGCTTCATGTTTTTGCTCATTTAGTGACAGGAGATGGTAAAAATAAATTTCAGCATTTCTCGAAATATCAAGTACACAAGGGCTGGCTTGATTAGAGGACTAGTTGATGTAGCGAGGAGTTGATCCTCTACTGATACGACCTATTGCGATTCTAAACTTTTATACCCACTTTTCAACTATTTTTAAACACCAACTCACACGGCAAGCCCAACCAGGTGGAAGTCACGTAAGGTCCATATATCACTGGTTGGAACGGTTTTCGGCGAGCCTGAGTACAGTAGCCTTTGGGTGGGGAGTTCTTTGATTCCTTACCAAACAGTTGTCTTTTAGGGAAGACTACTGTGACGGCTACTCCTATGATGGATGACGAGAAGGGTTTAGGTAAAAAAGGAAATTGCATTGCCCCAACTTCCATATATTGTCGCTACAATAATTGTTTCACCGGAACTATTTGAATGCTAGTTTTCCTAGCAGCGATAAACATTTACAACAGATTCATTGAACATTTTTCACTATGTGGCAGACACCGCCCTAATTGAAGTGACCTTCATGAAAACCGCGAAAGATTCCAATCTTTTACCAGAAAGAACTCAAAAAAAAAGGAATATCAAACTATCAGAGTGCAATGTAATTTAAGGTCCACTTTACTTTGATTGCTGTACAAATGTTATGAGCCTTCGTGGAG